CTATATATTAATAGGCAAGCATGTTTCTTTAAAACCTTTTTTCTCAGCTCGTGTGCATCGTAGGGAAAATCTACGCATACCGTTGGAAAGCTATTTTCCTGTAGGTGTGCAGAATCCCTTTATAAATTTAAATAGGCTCAAAGATAAGCACAAAAAATAAGTTTAAAAGTTGTAAAAAATTAACATGGATCTTATGCGTTGCTATGCTGGTTACGAAATAACAACGAAATATAAACAGAAAATCAAAACAAATGGAGGAAACTCCAATCACATGTTTTATTTACAGTGTGGGGTGAAAATAGTTAAGTGAGTACATTACATATTTTTGGTCGAGTTTCGACCACTGGACGACCTCTCGTATATATTATTACGTTTTAATTTGGAAGTAAAAGACAGAAAATAAGAGGTGGGTCTATATACACATTAGGTCGTATATAATGGCGATAAAGTTTATTAAAATTGTCAGAATAAAATTAGTTCTGAAAATATGTTTACTGGTCATACAGACAAAAAGCTACACATTTAACGTTTAACAGGAAAAATAATAACGGCTGGCTATCAATAAACCTAACAGCGGTGGATAGTATGTATTATTGTAAATGACCGAGTTCATTGTAGACTAGAAATAAACCACGACCAAAGAAATAGCCGACTTGTCCAAATCTATATTTATCAAACTAATCAAGCAGCTAGAATGAGACAGTAACAAAATTGGATTGTGATCCAACTATGGAGGGAGGCCTTACTAATATGCTTAGTAAGGTTAATCCATACGCCCAAGCTTCCAAAAGATTGGAAGAATTTCTGAGAGAAACTTTTGAAGATCTACAACAAAACGTCTATATGGTTTTTTTTAAAGACAAGAACAGGGACAAATGGAGGTATGTATAACAACTTACCAACTGAAAACTATGTTACTGCAATATTCAAGTCTGATGACGTTTGCCCCCAAGGTCCTCCTGAGTTTGTTAAACGCTCGAAAATGGGGGTTCTGAGAGTTTCCCAGCAAATTTCACTGATCTTGGCCCCATGGCTTATTTATTACTGTTTGCCTTTGAATATGAAGGGTAGCTTCAAGGTATGCCTCAAGTTACAGAGCAATCAGCTGGACATCGCAACACAGTAAAGCAGTTGCAGTCCGCAGCACAAAGATTCTCCATCACACAATGGTTCTTACCGATAGTAAAAGGTGGTAAATTGTGTCTTCAATGCATTATTAATGCGGGGTTTTTTTTAACGAGGTTCGAGGGAGAATAGCTAGAATTTTTTTAAAAACAACAACAACAAAATAACAATCAAAAGTCAGTTCGGAGCTTTAAATGAATCTGCATGATGCAATACGAGTTCTAGGTGGTCTGAGCAGGAAATAGATTGCCAGGTAATTTTAGAAAAATCAGTTGAATGTTGCATTCTATATTCTACTAGACTAACTATAATATATAATATAGCTTGTAGTCTAACTACTAAGGTACAATGACTATTGGCCGTCAACCAGGAAGACCTAACCTCTTCAACCTAAATTTACATGAAATAAAATCCAATCCTAAGTACAATGGTGTTTTTCCTATCTTTACAGTTAATATTGAAATCAAATGCTTAATGTGTAAATACAATTACCTATGATTTGAAAAGTCGATGTTTGACACCCCACACATTGAAGTTGAACACAATAACGGAGGAGCTGTGTTCACACATAACTATGTTCTAAAATGTTAAACTTAAGTTTTTAAAGTACTCGTATATCTTTAAAGAATATTAAGAACGATTATTGCAGCGCGTCAAGAACCCTACAATACGTGATCGTACACTTTTGTGCACATATCAGTTATTATCTTTATCCTTCCATCTTCTTCGTACGTGTTAAATTAAAATAATAAATGTCGTTTATCGACATTGTGATACTTTTTTAGAAAACTTTAATTTCAATAACAGATTTGAATTTAAGATCAACATCTAGACAAGCATTTGAACTAAAGCAGTAACCAACTCCGACACAGTTAACCGGGCTATCAGTTTACTAATGCTCATTTCACAGTAAGCTAAACACTGATTAGCTCCCGAGGTCATGCGATTGCACCCTGGTAATTATTATTTGGCGTCATCAACACAACCATAAATTTTCTGGACGTTTTTGATCTTATTTTTGTTGGTTAACTCAACGTTAGAATGTTACCGGGTTAATGACACAGTTTTAGTCATAAGCAAAAATATTTTGATTATATATACTTACTTATTTTAAAGAACGTACTGTGTTTTAACGTTTTATTGTTTCAATTGTAATAAAATTCCCACCCTAGGTTTTTTTTATCCACATTAGATGATAAATAATAGTATTGAAAATGTAGTGTTTGGCAATGTTGTGAGAGTAGTATAAGATCAAAATACATCACATAATCATTTTAATGGCTACAAAACTCGAAGACAGCTACCAAATTGGACACATCCTTGTTACCCGTTCTCTCTCATGTTCTTAAAAACTTTTCCAGCTTTTAGTGAAATTCTTGTAGCAGTGTACAATGATTGTGGTAAAGTCCATAAAAATAATTACTGTTTACACAATGGTGATTGCAATGTGTAGACAATTAAATTATATATTTATCATTCATAAAACGTATAGCGTGAAAAAATAATATACTATTCTTAATATAACTCCACATCAAAACACCACACACTGTATAAAACAAACACAGCGTACACAATGTTATATAAAATAATAGACTATTCTTGAGATTACTCAACATCAAACCACCACACACTGTATAACTATCACAGCGTATACAATGTTTACAAAAATATTACATTAGGATGGGACTTTTATCTTGTAACTGTTCGTTATGCAGTTATCGATGTGAATATTGTCACGTGTTGAAGGCTCAGTAGTAAGTATGGCCGACACATCACATATTCCACTGTGTGTCCATCATTCCAAGTCACAGGAACCAGCGGCTCCGACTGTAGGCAGCTTTTACTAAGAACCACAAGCCTTGTGTCGAATCGCAATCTTCATTAGTTTGGTACTATAATACATCATCGATAGTATATTTATACAAAACCAAATGGCTCAAATAAATTTTAATGAAAAATATCTAACAATTTATCATTTACTGATATTTAATTGGGGTCTTATGAACAGTAGAAGATCAAAACCACTATTCTTTTATCTGCTTGCAGGTCAAATTCCATGATATTAGGTTCACTAAAATATCTTATACTCTCTGAGTTGTCCATGGAGTCTCAAAACTATTTTACTCGGTTTTCCCGAATGCTTAATACGTTAGAAACTAATACTGTAAATTAATGTAGGTGCAAGTAAGGACAAATCAATGTAGAAATCTTTGGTTGTGACTGTTGTTGAATAAGGCAAACAAATTGCAGAAAATAACAAAAAGATAACAATTTAGTGTTGAACTTAACCTTTTAGTAAACTTTTTGATAAGTTTCATAATATTTGTAATTTGACGGTTTCTTATAAGACTGGGAATTGGAAAACTTCCCGTTTACAATCTTTTATTTGAAATGAGAACGTTAAATAGAATAGCATTATTGTATTTATAAACTAAAGTGATGAAATAAAGTATCGAAATAGTTATGCTGGTTATTTCCGTAATATATATATTTCGATATTTCCGTTTAAATGTATTGAAAAGGTAATGTTTGGCAATGTTTTGAGGGAAGGCTGGAAGTGATTACGAAACAATAACTTTTGTGCTCACCTACAGAAGACTGGGGCTATAAGTACTGTAGGTCGGTGGGCTTGATTAGGGGTCAGGTTTAGTGTGTATTGGTAGGGTAGTAAATTAGAGGAAAGGGTCCCACTGGGGGAGCTAGAGCCCAAGGCTTTGGCCTTGAGTCCAGTGACTCAATAGGGACTTTTACCGAACCTGGTTTTCCGTGTCCATATTTAATTAATTAAATTGTTCTAATCTTACCTGTTGGTTGTAATAAATCTTTGTGTTTTGTTACATTTGATTTTTTTGTGTGCCTACAATAAATCTGGGGTTTTTGAGTGCTGAGTTTATTTTCTCAGTTTAATTTGTATATTTCGGAATATACCGGACTCTCCGTATCAGCTTTAGCTCCTCCTTTATAGTGGAGTGTTCCACGATTGTCACTGTTACAAGAATTTGGTATGTATAGTATATCAGAGTGACAACAAATAGAATAGTAATTACAGTAGTTACAGACAAAATTATCTTAAAACTTGTATTGCAATGTTAACAGATACATAGAAATAGGAAAGCCACTTTACCGCAGGAGTAGTATAACCTCCCTCTTGATAGAATACAATTTCAATGGTCGCAAAGCAAATAGTCATTAGGTTAAATGTGCAGAGTGTAATTTATTTACTAGTTCCAAACATTGATTGCTGTCATTACATATTTGGCCCACGCCAATTAGTGTTTTATGATAGATGGGTATTTACTTGTTCTTTTGGGCTGTCCGACTGGGGTATTACTGCTTTATTGCGAAATATTTACTCCCTAAACAAAAATGTTGTTTACTACTATCATGTTAAAAGTAATTTGAATTAAAAGTATTTTGGTTTTCATTTTACATAGGTTGTGGATGACAATGAAATGTGTAAAGGTTAATAATTTCCTTAAGAACTTTAGTAATTTTATATTAATTAGCTGTCGGTGAAACGAAATACTATTGCTTATAAATTCATAAACTACAAGTAAAGGACATCAAAATAGCGGAAGATACTGGCATAAAGAAAATTGTGTACTGTACGAGAATGACAGCTATTACAAAAAAGTAATGTCTTTACTACAGCACCTTCTTAAAATATTTACTCTCTGTCTATTCAATTTATCTCCTCATTACCATTCATAAAATAACCTTGAGTATTTCTTTGTAAACTTTATATACATGGTACTGCACAGACAATAAAGAATACTCTAATAAGAAAAGTTTGTTTACATGCTGCCAACAATTGCAAAACATGTGGCTTACCTACCACAGCACATATAAAAACCTTGTTCGTGAACTCATCGCCATTTCATTTGGTAAACTAAGGTAACTATTGACACCGCATATCATAATATCTACTATCCAAAAAAGAATTGTGAGGTAGTAATTTTAAAATGTCTTATGTAAAAAATTTAATCAAATAATTTCTTAAATGTTATTTTACTATCGTGCGAATATAGCAGAAAAATCAAACAAAATAGGCTTACCTTCGATAAAACTTTCACTTTTATTAAAAACACTAGTTATATTGCATTTAAAATTAGTGTAAATTTACACGTATTTTATTTTACTTTTGTAATAATACTGCGTAAAAATAAAACTTTAATAATAATACTAAAATGAATAACATTTATTAATAACATATTTTTACGTTTTGCGGGGTCGAGAATACTCGGCTCTACATAAATCGACAAAACAACAGATCAAAAATTTTCATTTGAGCATATAAATATATAACTCACTTTATAGATGCACTTTAAATACATTTTATAAATACACTTTATGGATATATAAAGTGCATCAAATTCTTTTGGAAAGATATATTTTCATAGGAAACTGTATTAAAATTCTTGAGTTTCAGGTTCTGTAAAGCATGGCGTTGTCGATATTCTTGTTATGCTGTGCAATTGGAACATTCAACTCAGGTACAATGTTTAACTAGTGAAATATTAAATAGGCTGTAAGTACAGTGACACAAAATTGTATCCGATTTAAAATACCTTGCTAATTTTAAAACTGTTTCAGTTGATGCCAACTCAATTCTTAGCCCCACAATATCAGGGACGAACTGTGTCAGATCCCCTTGTGTTGTTCGAAATGGAAATGCGTATACTTTCACCTTCCAGTACAAAGTGTGTAAGTATATAAGCTGTAGTTGAGTCTGAACAATGTTATATCTAAATCAGTCCAACCCATAGAGGCTATATTAGTTAGATTATACATTAGTTTTGTTTATTTTATAAAATTACAATTTCTTGTTAGGTTTGAACTGCATATTGTCCAAACAAATATATAAACAAATAATAATATGCAAATTATATTATACAATTAAATATAATAAATATAAATATAAGAAAATTTTAGATGGCTTTAGTAAATCTTTCATGAGCACGATTGTTGTTTCAGTGAGAACCGGATCATCTCAAGATTTGTCATGGACAGCCTCGCTAGGCAAGGGGTCGCTGTTTAGCTCAGCTGATACTCTGTTTGCGAACTACAACCTCTGCAACAGTGGAGGTGGCTTGGTCTTGCAGAAGGCAGCCTGTTCAGGGTTTACCCTAGAACAAGGACAATACTATACAGTCACCGTCAGTTCCCTTCAGTTCCCTAAAGTAAAGGTCAGTATGTTAGTTTTTTTATAAAGAAAATATACATTGCTTATTTATCAATTACAACGTAAATAAATACAATAATTTTTTCCTAAAGTTACTTGACAAAGTGGGCTTCGTTGAACTGATTATAGCACTCAAAGTAATTAATTGCTGCGTTTACTTACTTTTGCCGCACTAATCTTTTTGCAGCATTCATTTTTTGCCGCACCCCATTTCCAACCAAACAATACAAAACAGTGTGATTTTATTAGACAATAAATATAATAAACTGATAACATTTAATAATCACCACACTAATAATAAGTTGTAATAATAATAATAAATAATAACGTACATGCTTGAAAATAAGTTGGCTACACATTATGATACTACGACTACGATCAGCTGGTACAGCGTTTTCCATTTGGTCAAAGCTTGGATTTAAACTAACCTAAAACACGGGTTGTTTGAAAGCATAGTTATGTAAATGCTTTATAGTAATTGTAGGGAAAATATAATGCGTAACGCGAGTGCAAAGTGTCTTTTATGCACTCGAGAAACTTTTCACACTAGCCTGGAGCTCGTGCGTGGAAAGTGACACTTCGCACACTAGCTACACAAAAAACTATTTCATGTTATTGTTTTTTGTCTCTGGAATTCCATATGAATATTTGATTGTTTGAATCTCATTATAGTGAATGTGGTAACACTTACTTTGGAAATGAATTAGATTAATATGATTGCTCTGCTCAATATTGCAAGCAGACTACTGTATTGTACACCTAGTGTTTGATACTCTATGCTATAGTTCCATAATTACTTTTTCCCATATGTTGTCATTTGCATTTGTAGTTATTGTAATTGATAACTGTTGTTATTACAATTTACAGTCCATTAAAAAGTTCTCTCTTATTTTCCGTGATTTTATTATTTATATTTTATTTAATGCGAAGCATTAAGTTATCTAATATTTTGAACCGTTCAGAAGCCGGATATTGTCAAGAATTTATTATGGTAAATGATTACACAAGGAAAGTTTGGTGAGTTTAATTGACTACATTTCCACCAAGACTAACTACCGATATTTTGATTGACATTGTTTTACATTATATTGATCAATAAATCTTCAATTGAAAATTAGTATTAACAATGTGAATTAAAATTTAGGTAGTAAGTCTTGGTGGAAATCTGGCCAATAAAACTAACCAAATCTTTCTTGTGTAATCATTTACCGTAATAAATTCTTGACACGTAGTTAAATTTTACTATGTTATACTGTTTTCCTTTCGGCTCTAAACAAAATGGTACAACCCCAATTGCTGTAAAAATTAAACTTCAAAAGTTTTGCAACTTTTGTGATTTTCCTATCAAAACCTATAAAATAACATAAAGTCGGATTTTCTAAAATACTGCTTGGCCGGTTTTGTTTATAATTTTGATGTAGCCATTTCAGCTGTAAACAAATTGGTACAAACCCCATTGCTGTAGAAAATTACAGTTCAAAAATCTTTGGAATTTTCCACATAAAGAAATCTTAGATACCACTACTGATCACGCATGATAATAGTTTTTGACAAGCTAATGAGGGAGTGGGTATGTTTTAGATTGCTAATACCGTGTTGTAATATTTATTTATATTTTTTTCACTTGTAAAACTGAAATCAACGTAACTCATTTTTTGGCGTTGGTTTGAATATGGAACGTTAATTTATTCAACTGAATCTAAGGTGGTTCCATTCAAATTTATATTTCAATCATTTGGTAGGCATTTAAATTTATTGTTGAGAAAATACTTAACTTCTTTATAATATTAATCAAATCACTGTGTATGTTTGTTTTAGGAGACAAAGTACTTGGATCTCTATTTGTCAGACGGCAAACAAAAATCTCGTCTTTCTGGATTAGAGGTACGACCGTAATAGATAAAAAAGGAGTTCCCCCCCCACAGATGTACTATATCAAAATTTATTTGTCATGATGGTAATATTTCCATAATAAACTATGATAAATATATTGTTGATTTCTTGGGGATCCAGACTTTAAATGACTAAAATAATGGCACTAGTAAATACCAGTCTAAATAGTTTTACACTACTGTTTTCTCCCAAAACTTTTAAGACGGTAGGCCCTATCAGGAAATTCTGAAACACTAATAGCCACTAGTCCTAGACTTTTACGAATCGCCATATGGGTTTCTTTTAACTTCATATTGCACACCGTCATAAGAAGAGTGGTTTTGATTTATTTACAAATCTATTTACTAACGTTACGTAACACAAATAAAATGAAAAAAAATATAGTACATAGTATTTATTAAATTTTACACTGTTAAGAGATCACATTTTTTATGAACTACCGTGATATGTTTGACAATATATTTATTATAGTCCTAGAAAGTCGATAATATTCAAACAACTGTTTTAAATTGATAAAAAGAGATCGTGGTTGAAAACGTTATTGAAGTACAAGGATCGATCAACCTCAGGAATCAAGCAATCAAAGCCAAACTCCATCAACAGAGTTAGTTTCAGTGCAACTTTGTTGTCTGCGAGCAGTTTAACTCATAGCTCCGGGTCATCCGGCGCTCTGTACTTGTCATAACTTCAAGTAGTCTTGTTATTCAATCGTGGATAAACATACTCGATATGTAATAACGATGTTAAGTATAAATACTTGGGTTTTATTTAAATATAATTTGAACAGTTTGTTTTATTTTTAACTAAGTCATCCATAGTAAAGTACGTATCAACTTACTCTTGTTAGTACCACAATCAGTTGGTACTGAAACCACTTTACCTATTTTTACTGTAATAAATTAAGCAATTTTATCCAGATTAAAGAGGTTTCTAAGACATTAACGACCACCAGACAAACATTTTAGTCCTGTAGGTGAATATTCTACTTGCAATAGTTAAGTAAATATAAAACTATTAATCCCAATCTATTATATTATTAAAATGAAATTTGAGGCAATCGCTTCAGGCCATTGACAAAATAAAGATGTAGGCATTTGGTACATCAAAATAAAGCTCAGAATGTTTAAATTGGCCGGAAAGTATTGGCATGAACATATTCTGCAAGAGCTTTGTCCGAAAATCTGATCACGAAAGGGCTAGCTCAAACAACCTTGCATGGTTTTGAAGTTTATTTACTATGACACTTTACTACATTTACTATGACTTTATCATCACAATTAATTACATGAACAACAGCTGGTGCTGGTGCAGACCAATTTGCTTATTTACTTTAAAATGTGTGTGATGGTGGAGGCTATTTTTTCTTTTTAAGATGTTGGTGCCCTTTTTTAACCTTGCCCGTCCACATAGACTACAGATCTGTGCGTGGAACGTATCCAGCAAACAAAGGGGCGAAGGTGAACTGTACTGATAAAATGTTTGCGACAGTGACCAGGATCCAAACCCATGCCATCGCTGCCTTGGGCCGTAGTCCTTGACGCTACCAACTGAGGCACCGACTCACCTAGATTAACATTGTGGAAACGTACTAGTTAATTATCAAGAACGTTATGTTTCATTAAAGAAAGATAGCGTATGTTTTGTTGTGTAACAAAGATAGTTTTCTTTGTAACTTATTCTATAAGTTATAGGAAAAGAGGCTTGACTAAAATTAAGTATTAGAGTAAAATATCGTTTATTATGTAGGCCTATCCCTAAACAAATTTAAATTTAGGTGATTGTATTGCTAGGTTATGGTGTTCGACTTATATGGATCTGTTGACTTCGAATATAAGTAGGGCTAGATCTACACATAAAGATAAGTGATAACTTAGCTAGAAATACTGTAGTATTATTTGAAATCACGATATAGACTATTTAGAGCTTTTAGGACTATAAGATCTTATTGAATTTGTAAAATATTAAGACGCAAACGAATGTTAGGCTTTTTGCATACCCCATGTGCATTTTAAAATATATTAAATTGCAAGATTAGATTAGACAAAAAAACCATTTATGTAAGAATGTCGATGTTGGAAAGAACAAAAAGGTCTTCAGATTATTGTTTTTAGCGAATTTCCCATATAGGGAATAAGCTATTACCGTAGTACTCATGGTAAGACCTGGACCCGGGACCGATTTTTTTTTTCGTTTTGAGGTCCCTAGAGGCCAAAAACACATTCATAACGATAATCCATCCTCGTAATCCATAACGATATATATATATATATGTGTGTGTGTGTGTGTGTGTGTGTCTGTATTCACCGAATAGTGGCATCCTTCACAGGCACACGGCCGTACTGTGGCACCTTCAAAAATTGTGGCACCTTTTTCAGGGTGCCACAGCTAATTCGATCATTTTTGAGGTTTTCCAGCATTATTACGTCGTTTGAACATTACATGCCACAATTGAGTATTTTTGAACTCGTTGATGGGAGTTTAAGTAGCGCAGGTACACGCCGAATTGTGGAACACGAAACCATACAGGTAGCTAGCGCGCCTCGCGCCGTCCGCCGGAACTATAACTTTCCTAATGCTACGTTGCCAATTCTCGCGCCAGCTTACACTCTAAATAGTGGCACCATGCCACAATTCAGTATATATCAACAGTGTGTGTACATGATGCCACTTAATGAGTTGTAGCGCTTGATCAGTGTGTAGAACAGTGCAACAAGCAACTAATAAACTAATAATACTGTACTGCCACGTACTATAAAACAATTTAAGTACCATAAATAATATACTTTTGCTCCGAGTGTTGAACAATGTTTTACATTAAAAATAATTTGTGTTGTAAAAAATTATTTAAATTGTTTTCATGCCACCATTAAAAAATGTATTTTTGTTTACAAACATAAATTGGTAACGTAGTTACTTTGTATCAATTGAATTATTACATTGAAACAATAACAATGTTTTAGGTTAGAACACTATATAAGTTGTCCTATGCTGCAATTTTTTATCTTACAAACTATTTCGTGCTGACATCTGTTTTATTAACATTCTAGTCATGTTGACAAAAATTTTACAATTACATTTCTGAATCACTCAGTAGAGGTAATTATTATTTTTTTATTATTATTATTTTTTTATCATTTTATTTAATTTACAATCTGTTCAAAAAAAGTAGAACAATAAGCAAATGTGATACAATTTAAACACAGTAGTTAGTCCTTATCCAACAATAAAGCTAACAAACAATCTTTGCATATTGGCACAAAGTTTAAAGTCCATAAATCTCTAAAAACGACTACTTAGGTCAAAACATGGCATCTTTTCAATCTATATATATACAGTTGCTGTTGTTCAACAAATTCAAAGCGAGGTAGTTGGTATGGTACTCTAATTTCTTTAAGTATTTGGCACTTAACCTTGAAATTTCTTCTTTGATCGTTGGGGTTCGACTGTCTCTATGGAGCACTTCGTTGTTAACGAACCATGGTGCCTGAAGAATGTGTCTAAGAACAAGAACTTTAGATTGGAATCTTTGGATGATGTTCAAATTGGATTCACTGGATGTCCCCCACAGTTGGATACCATACGTCCACACTGGTTTTAGAATGGTTTTATATAAAAGCAATTTATTTTCTGTTGTTAATTTAGAATTTTGATTTAATAGGCAAGAAAGAGGTAAATTTCGATGCAACATTGCTGAAAGTTATGTTTTGCTTCTCACTCTCAGAGTATTCCAAAGACATCTAATGTTTCAATCCATGTTCAAATGTTATATGAGGTAAACATGTAACCGAATCAATTAAAGTACGGTACTTAAATTAAAATACATATTATTACTAGGGTTGCTTTCAAAGAGGTGAAAGCCAGTTGAGCGGAAAAAACGTGATTTGATATTTGTATAAGTAACTAAATGTAAAAACTCAATAGATGTACTAATGCTGGTTTTATTGGTTAAAATTATAATAATTCAAATTTGTTTTACTACATCTTGTTATTCAGATACCTCTTCCAGAAGTGCATTATGGTAGTTTTGACCAGGAAAATATTACAGTAGTTGGAATCTGATATTAACATCCAAAAAGGGCATTAAAGTATAAAAAAGAGAACGGAAATTTAACATCCAAATTTAACTGTAGCCCACAACAAAAACATTGAGCTTCATTTTTCACCCTTACAATTGGTTAAAGTATTGAAGTATAAAAAAACGTAATTATTAAAAAAAAACCAGAATTAAAGTATAAAAACAGGAGGGGAAATTTGACATTTAAATTCAACTGTGCAACATAAACATTGGTCTTCATTTCAACCCTTGCAATCGGTTAAGCTCAGCTTTCTTTGCTGGAAATAATTTTTGATTGTTAATACCAAGTATTCTTGATATGATGGAGGATATTATTGTAATGTAACTAGATTGTACGTCTTCTACCATTATTAGGACGATTTAGAGACAGCATTTTAATATTGTTCTTAATAATGGCCATTGGATACAGAAGATTTTGATGAAAAATGCTTGCTACAAATTTAACATGGGGATAGAATGTCTGTAAGTTGTATTGATAGTCAAAGATAAAACATAGGCCTACGAAAAGCTTAGGGCTATTTTAATGTGAGACTCAAATGTAAAACACCTTTAAAAGACTAAAATGAACTGAATTATCAATTATATATTTCAATGTGTAAAAATGTAAAAAATTCAAAAAGACTTACTTATTGAACAACGAAATAATATGGCTGAAATGTAGGCCTAAACATGAGTAATAAGTAAACATCGCATTCAGCTGATTTAAGTGAAAACAGAATAACAATAAGAAGGGAAGACATGTCTTAAATATACAATGTAGATAATATGATTAGAAATTCGTAGCCTACTTATGGGCAGGCCTAGTCAATTATCCATACCGTGGATAAAAGTGTACTTCTATTAGCCCAGGTAATTAATTATTTACTTATTACGGTTGTAACTGGACGTATGTATAGTCCATGGCTTGGCAATCAAATAACAGTATTTAAATAGGATAGGCTACTGTTATCAACTTTTGAAATTACTGGATTGCTACCAAATTACTGTTTCACAAAATACAGATTCCATTTTCAACCGAGCCATTAAAATGAGGATTTGCCGAACAATTATTAATATTACAGAATAGTATTTAATGCTATACAACTTTTCACCTGTGAGGTATTATCGGATTAAATATCGATTTCGATGCAGTTAGATATATCGCTTATTTTTTTATCAGAATTTATTTTACAATCGGTTCAAATATGAGGACAATAAGTAAAACATATATCAAAACAATGTCAGGAAACATTAAACAAGCACCTGTTCATCAACAAGCCTTGCCAAAAATTGGAACAATCATTTAAATATTTACAGAAATCTGTAGCTTAGGTCCAGCACATGCACAACACTTTATAATCTGGTAATGCACTGACTATTGTCCAGCAGATTAACAGCAAGACTGTTCGAAATCCTGATTTCTAACATTGGCTGTTTCTAATCAGCCGGCAACACAAATAGGTTCCAAGGAAAGTAGTCACAGGTCCGTATCCCTCCGCTCCTTGTTAAATATTGGAAATTTTAAGTTCGATTTAAATTGCATTAGCATTATCTAATTGAAATTTGTTTGTTTAAAAACCATCTCACTATTAGTCTAAGTAATTTTGTTAAGTTTGGCTTAAAAAAACAGATAATTTAGTATATCGAAGCGTTATAATGCGCCTAATGGTTTCAGAGAAAATTCCAAAAAATTTTAAATTTAAAATTCCCACGTTATTCTGATGGAGAATAAGTA